GGGATATTATAAAAAGACATCATATGAAGATTCTACTTCAAATGGGTGAATATGATAAAGCTGAACGAATATTTCTACAAATGGACCATGAAGAAGGACTTATTAGTGTTGCAGAACTTAGAGGAAACTTTTATTTAGCAATGAAACAATACGAACGTGCTATTGATCATTATAAACAATCATTAAAACTTCGTCAGAAATTATTGTCTGCACCACACCAAGATATTGCTAAGAGATATAGTGCCATTGCAATGGCTTATGAATTTTGGAAACAATATTCAGAATCTGTCGACTATTATCAACGAGCAATTAAACAATATAATCGTACATTGAAAGACAATCATCCATTGATTATACAAATTAAAGCTAGTTTGATAAAACTTCAACATAAAATAAATCATTAACTGATCGATGGCCAATTTTATTTTGAAAAAACCTTGATATACTAATAAAAAATAACATAAATTGAAAAATGTTTACAAATAAAATCTTTCAAAGAACTATGATTTTATTTAGAAAAAAAATATTCTTTTATTCTAATCATTATTTAAATAAGAAATGTAAATCCCCTACTGTAACAAAAGACCCCCTGGTCTACTATTATATTTTGTAGTACAAACTTTTAAAGGGGTCTTCTATTATGAGGTGGTCTTTTGATACGATTTTGTGAAATTTCAGACAATATCGTTCATCATGATTATACTATTTAATAAATATGAAATAGAAATTCAAAGTAGAATTTAGAAAGAAATTTTGAAAAGTTAAAAGTTGAGAAAATGAAAATAAAGTTAAACGTAAATAACTTTCAACCTTGATTCTAACATTTAACCGTAGTTAATATAAGTTACTATCTCAATTCTGTCAACTAGAATTTTAGAATGTAATGGTAAAATGGTATGAACTATATGGCTTCGATGTACTCACTCACTAAGATTAATGAGGTAGAAATTTTACCCAATTGACTGATTTGAAATAATAACTTATAACTTATATTAATCACGGTTAAATATTATAACCAAAATAACTTCTGGACGAAAAAGTTGATAATTTATAACTCAAAAGTTGTAATTCAAGTTATAACTCAGCTCTTTTTAACTTCCACTCTGATAAAAATACAAAAAAAACAAACAAAAACTGCAACTATTTTTTGTTGCTGCTGATGTTAAATTGGACTGGTGTATTCACATATGATTTTTCTGCATCTTCGTTCTGATTATCCTCTTCTTTTTAATTTTAGTCGACTTGTGTCTATTTTTACGCGAAGAAAACATATTGTAGATGTGCATAAACGAGCTATTATTATGTTTTCAATTCTTCTGTATCTCTCGTTGCACAGTACACACAATAATATGGACAATTTAGTGAAAAAAGAATAATAATTTAAAATTTTTTTTTAATTTGAAGACCCGGGTCTTCTATTATGGGAGGGTCTTTTAATACACCAGAGGGTTTAATACATCAACAGAGCAAAACGAGCAAATATATAATTGTATAAATATTCAAACAGTTTGTCTATGATTGCTCTGACACATTAAAAATAAAATCGAATATTTTGAAGACAAACTACATATGAAATGTCATATCATTGTAACCTTTAACTCGAAATAGAGCATTTGATATGACTATTCGTTGCAAAAAATAGAAAGAGCCAAATTTCAATTGATTTTTCTAATATACACTGACTTTATTTACATAAAAAGTCAACGAAAGTTAAGGTAAACTAGGTCAATATTCTAGTGATAATTAAAAATCATGTATTTGATTTCTTATAGGTAAAATAAATATCAAATCATGAAAATCTATATGATTTCAAGTTAAAAAATTAAAAAAAAATAAATTCTTTATAACATCAATTTATTAATAGACTTCTAAATAGATACACAGATTTTTAATCTATTTTCTATATTCATAAATCAAAAAGTTTTGTATAATTAAAATATTTCAAAACATAGTTGATTGTGTTCATTCTAACAAAATAAAAAATTTATAAATAATCTCATTTGTATTATATATTATTTTCAATATTCTTCCAGTCGTGTATACTTTTTTCGCACCTAGAGAACTGAGTCGTTAGGTAGTCAGACCATCCGAACGGTATAGATATTTGATAGAAAAAAGTAAATGCATATGCATGCATATGGGTTATTGCGTAGGTTTATACCAACGAACGAACGAAGAAAAAATTACTTATTCATTTTCAGTATATATATGATGTAAAAATTATTTTCCTTTACCTTTTCTTATTAATTTTCATATTATCTGTCTCGTACTTTTCTATTGATTTTTTTATTGAATTTATATTCAATATTAAAATACAGTTACAAACGAAATTTGTCAAATATTCAATTCTTCTTCTTTTTATTATTCATGGAATACTTTATATATTTTTGGGATAAAATTAGTAAGTATAATATGAACTCTATGATATATTTTAGAAGAATTCTTTTTAGAGAATAATGAACACAATGAATCGTAAAAAATGTGTATAATAAGCTAAAATAACTGTTGAATAAATAAAAAGAAAGAGTAATACACGAAAATATTTATTTAATAACGATAAATTATTATCATCAAATACCTGTCATTCAAAATAGACTAGTCATATGATTTTTTGTATTAATATAACAAAGTGCAGAAAGTATGCAAGCTTGAAATTATTTAGCTCATTAAGAACTGATTAAATATCAGTTCTAAAGACTTTTCACTTAATGTAATTTAAAATTAAAGATCTTAAAATAATATCATTTGTATTATTTATGTCATTTTCTTTTGAAGGATGCTTTTCAATGTTCAATTTGCTTTCATTGTTAAACATAAATATTGGTCGATTTGCCTCGATTATTCCTGATATATTAGCCTTCAGTCGAAGTAATACAATGTTTATTGTATGTCCACCATGTGCTATTGGAGCTACTCAACTTCTTTCTGGTCATATGTCAATTTCCAATCTATTCTATTCATGGATACTAAGTTTCATTTATTTATATTTTTATATAGTACAATTTAATATTAATAATGATATCACCGGTGTTGAAGGAGATCGTATTGATAAACCATGGCGACCAATACCATCAAATCGTATTAGTATACAACGAGCTTGGCATCTTTATTATATTACAGTTACGATTTATCTTGTTTATTCTTATTCAATTGGTCATTTATTTCCATGTTTAATATGGACTTTTACAACAATTATTCTAAATTTTACTAGTATTCAAAATACAAGTATTGGAAAGAATAGTATGATTGCTCCAGCTACATATGCTATGGTTATTGTTATATGGTGTTTAATGAATAATGTTTCTAATATATATGATCATCCAAAAATTCTATGGAGTATTATTTTTAATTCATGTATAACTGCAGCTGTTGCAGTTCAACAAGATATGCGAGATGTTGAAGGTGATCGTGTTCAAGGAAGACGAACATTTTCTGTTACAATGGGTAGTCCAAAAGCAGAACAATTAATTGCTAAAATTATTTTTTGTTCATTATTATTAATTCTTATTGAAGCAAGTCTAGTTGATCAAGTACGTATAGTGAGCAAATCAATATATATGTTAATTAATTGTATTCTATATGGAATAATGATTATACGAAATTTATTTTCATATGATGTACGTAAAACATATGAATTTTATCATCAATTGACTTTCTTTTTTTATTTATTTATGATACCAATTATTGAAACTAATTGAATTTTATTTTTAATTCCAAAAACCTTTTTTATTGTAGTATCAGAGCAAAGCCTGTATAAATTTTTTCTTTTATAATTTTTTATAATAAAACGAATATGAATTTCATAAAATCTTTGTTTTGATTAGTCATGATAAAATTTATTTCGAAATAATGTATACACATTTATCAATATTTGGTAACGATACAACCATGACGATCATTTTCAAGTGAGCGTGACGATTTTTCAAATAAAAATTATTTTTTTAAAGACCGTCTAGGACATTATAAATTTGTTTCTCTTTTAACTCGGTTGTACAAAGTGCGGGTAAGAGTAATGTCAGTGTAACTGATTACTATAGGTCACCTAATTCTTATATGACATACTTATATTTTTATTTTTCAAATAAATAATATGAAGTTCATCAGAATTATTTTTAAATTATAAAGATTCATATTTAATATTTATATTATTTATGGATGACATATTAAAAAAGTTTTTTAATCATAAATTATTTTAGATTTGAAAATAAATAAAATATATGAATGGAAATAGGAGTCAAGAATTTTTATTTATGTCTCATTTCATTTATTTTGTATTTTTTTAAATTTATCGAAGTATATAATAATATAGTCTATCATTTTAGAAGTGACCAATTATTAAAGTAATTAGGTCTGTCAATATATTCAAAAAAATCAATCAATTAAATTAAAAGGTTAGAATAAAAATCGAAACGTGTGAAAATATGAGTCACCTTTTTTTCTTCTTTCCTTCTATTATATTTTACAGATAAGAAATATGACACACGTATATATATGTTTTTTTTCATTCACGTGCATTAAACATGTGAGAGGTTGATGAGGAAGTGAACATACATATCCACAACCTTTTTTATTTATTTCTTCTGCTAAAATGAATGTGATTTTAAAATAAATAACTAATCTGATGTCCGCGTAAGGAAGATATTCGAATTTCTAACATTATGTATGAACAGTAGTACAGGGTGGACCAAAAGTCATGCATCAAAGAAAAAAAAATTGAATATCTGCCTTACGTCTCAAGCAAATTAGCTGATTTTTTTATCAGTCATAGAGACATGTTCAAGCTTTATTTCTGCCACGACGTGCCTAGAAAAACGCATTGTTAAGTGTATTGTTTTTTTCCAATTTTTTTTTATTTTTGTAAAAAAGTAAAATTTTTCTCTTGAGATCAATAGTCATACTTAACATCGGACTTTTCTAGACATGTCTTGGACAGCTATAAAGCTTATACATGCCTCTATTATTGATACAAAAATCAGCTCACTTGCTTAAGGCGTAGGGCAGATATTCAATTTTTTTTTCTTTGATGCATGACTTTTGGTCCACCCTGTATTCCTATTTATGTGAAAAATAGTGTTTTTTGTTCTTAAATAAAATTAACTATTAGTATATTTTACTCTAGCGTGAGAAATAGGCAAAGATAATTAATTCCGCATGAACAAATAAAAATAGAAATGATGATTTTATTGTTGAATGCACGAAACATTCCGTTTTCTTTTTTTTAATGATGGATTGAAAGAAATTAATTCCATTATTTTAGGATTAACCAAGACGTCATCGTTAGGTATTCATTTAATATATTTTCTAGAATTCTAAAGTCGTAAGTCAAAAAAGAAAAGAATGTCAACATCAACTCAAATATTTCCAACACTTGCAACAATTCAAACACTTTTAGTAACATATGCTTATCCAACTATGTTAGTTCTGGGTATTTTAGGAAATAGTATTAATATATATATATTTCTAAGAAAAAAATTAGTTGGAACATCTTGTAATAATTGTAAGTATAAATAATGACGAATTTTTTCTATATTAAATAAAATCATTTTATTTGATTCAAAAGATTTTTTGGCTACGGCAATTACTAATTTAATAATATTAAATATTGGTATTATTTCATTTTTATATACATACTATCAATCATGGGCAATAACAACAATATATTGTCAAATGCGAACTTATTTTTTTCATGCAAGTCAACAAATGAGTCGTTATTTTCTTGTCATGGCTTGTTTTGATCGTTTTGCTCTTTGTTCAACACATGCTTGTCTTAGAAAATTTTCTCATATACGTATTGCACGTCTTTATGTAATTCCTGGTACAATTATATTTTGGTTAATAGTTCCAATTCATATACCAATATTTTATTATTCAATAAATAATACTTGTACATTTTCAGGTGTTGCAGCATTTTATCAACGAGCTTATAATTTAGTAGTAACAGCTTTTTTACCACCAGGTTTAATGCTTATTTTTTCTATATTAACATTTCGTAATTTAAAATTAAGAAATCAACGTCGACAAATCTATCCTATTACTCCAAGAAATTTTACTATATTCATGAGAAAAACTCGACAAGAACAAATTAAAAATCAACAAATATTTGTTATGTTATTAATACAAGTTTTTATATATTTATGTTCAACATCTCTTTATTCAATATATACACTTTATACATTTATAACAGCAAATGATGGAACAAATAAATCAAATGAACGTTTATCAATTGAATCATTTATTTCATTTACCAATACAATGCTTATTTATGTTTTTCCATTTATATCCTTCTATTTATTTGTTTCAGTTTCTCATACTTTTCGTAAAGAAATGAAATTAATGATTATTCGAATTGTAAATCAATGTCATACATTTTCTATAAATAATGGTAATCATCATGCAGAAAATACGATTAATGTTATGTATCAATAATAAAAGATGATCATGTATTTTAAATGTTTTGGCTCAACTAATGCACATTACTAATTTTTCAAAACAGTAGATGTATGAGTAAATCTTTTGTATATTTATTTAACGCACGAATGCTTTTTTTAATAGAATTTCGATTAAAATCATGAATGAATTATAAATACTTCACATTCTTTTGTTTCTTTAGTATAACATAACGATGAGTTTTTAAATCAAGGAAAAAATAAAAATGATTATATGTAATTTTAAAGAGTTAAAAATCAATAATAATGTTATGGATAACAGAATCTTTTTCCGTCAAGAAACAAGTATACAATCAATTACTTATACGATTTAACTATTACAAAAATTTATCTGATCTTTTAGTATCATAAATATCAAAGTTGTTGAATGAGAAACCGGCTTCGTAGTCATTATTTTAATAAACGAAGATTGACTTTACTCAAACTTACAAACTAAACAGAAAAATTTCATTATACATCTCTAGAATTCGCGATATTCTGAATACGTGATACTACTGCAAAAGTACTTATTTCATCACATTTCTATGTAATTCATCCTATAGAAAACAGAGATTTCACTTTATTAATACAAAATGAGTGTGAATAAGATCGTTATCTTTACTTTCAAAACTAAAGATAAGATTGAAAAATAAGTGAAGGATTTTTGTATTGTTTATTTCATAAATGGTAAGATTTTATTTCTATGTATTTAAACAGATAGTAAAGGCTGAATAAGATCTCTGGTCTCAAACTACTTTTATGTATTTCCATGTAACTAAGTCTTTGTGTGTCAGTTTTTATATACATTCTAATGTGTTTATTTTATTTCTCCATCACTCCATATGTTAGCCTTTTTTTATCATTTTATAATAACGATTTATTGATATTGTTTTTCTTGAAAGAAATCTATAGTGAGGGTACCAGGTTAGTGTCACATCAATGAGTCAGTATTATGAAACAGTGATAAGATTTAAAGGAGTCGAAATTAAACCTAGCTACTTCTCAAAAAATGTAGACTTGAAATATGACTATTTTTTACACAAATTTATTGAATTTCGACTTTAAAATCTCAAATACTACTAGTTTTTTTGTGCCTGACAGAAATCTACTTCTACACACACTGACACTTTTTTCTTACTTATAGTTGTCAAGCTGCTGACGAACGCATTCGTATGATTCACCAATCACTTAATCGATCTCATCAAGGACATCTACATTTCTTCTGCCATAAAAAATTTCAATAGATTAACAATCGGTATTTTTGTTGTTAGATTAAAATAATAACAATTATTTTTTATTTGGTCATTCCAATGTTTACATTAGACGCATAGTAACCAATAGGCACCTTTTTTTATTAATTCAAAATCACACAAAAACCTGTTATAAAATAACGTGGGTAGTAGTACTTTTTTTTCTGTTCTGTTTTTATTGTTGCCATCAGCATACTACGTCAATGCCATCAGTATGACGTCTTTTTTTATTATTTAAAGAACCGAGAGTGTTACTTATTTTACATTTAAAAATTTCAGAAAAGAATCAGAACA